TATAGGCCTGGGAACATGTACACAAGTTAGGGGGCAGCTGGTGAGCCTGCAAGGATGCCTAATTATTCCCTTAATTAGGGGAGAGTCTCTGTAGCCATTCTCTGGCCAAACTTCAACTCTCACTTCCGTGTGAATGCTTCTTTAAGGAAATGAGGTTAAAAATAAGATCTTCATGAGCAGAAGTCACAGTCAGTGCTGTCCCTGCTACATAGGAGCTGGAGTAATGTTTTATTCAGTAAGTGAGGGAAAGATCAGAAGACTCGTTCTTGTAAAGATGGTATGTCTCCCTACATTTGCCTAGAAATTGGATTTCAGCTCAAGTGTAATATTGGTAGAGTCTTCTTTTCATCCAAAAGCTCCTTAGGAGAAAGGCCTTGGGATCTTTTTCTGAAACATCAGCCACGAAAACCCAATGGAGCACAGTTCTACCCAGACATACACGGGGTCAGCATGTCAGAATTGTGGGCAGTTGGAAATCATACTGGTTTGGCCTTGTTTTATTGCTTAAAGCATTCAATCAAATTATTCCTCAAGGGTATCTGAAATAACAAACCCTCCATAAAAATCCTCATCCAAAATATGTCCAGGTATCAACCTTCCTTGGATATGAGAGCACGTTATAAAGGCACCATCATGGAAAGAATGTGGCGCTGGCAAAGAAGAGGATAGGTCAATGGGCAATATTAAAATGCAGAAACCCATCTAAGAAGTGGAAGAATTTAGTCAATGACCATGTCATTTCAAAATAGTTGGGGGTGAGGGTGGATTATGCAATTGGTGGCTTTGTAACTTCTATTAGAGAGAGCTTTTGGAAACTGAGAACAGTTAGCTCTTGGCCTCATTTCATGCACCAAACATCAGTTCTGGGTCCCAGGGAGACACTTTTCTAGAGTGAATTTCCGGTGTCCATCACATCAGGCCATGCTGCTCCTCTGCCCCCACGGCCCATTTAAATGGAGACACCTTGAGTCTGTTTCCGCTTCATAGGAGTTCCACAGGTGGCAGAGTCCTCGTGCCTTTGGACCTCTCATCAAAGGTCGCTGCTTCTGACAGTGTGGATCTTACTCACACTCATTCAGTGGGGTCCACATTCACCCTTCTTGCTCAAAAGGCTGCTGGCCCCTTTCATGTGGCGGGTGGGACCACCCTGTTTTACCACAAGAACTCTATCTGAGCAGGGCTGCTGCTTCCCAGTGAGAACAGAAGAGCCCCGGCTCCTCCTCATCACCTGCGCTTTTCCACTTTCCGCAGCCTTTACCAAGTGCTCCCTTGTTGGTGGTCATGGCTGAATGGACTGACCCCACCATTGGACGACACCTTTCAGGGGCCTGGAAAGGGGTCCAGTTGAGTTGTCACTGGACTCGGCTGTGGTCTTGGGGAGGATGTTTCCAGAGATAGCCTGAGGCTGTGGCAGACGGCAAATTCATAGTCTCGGTCCCAACTGAGCAACAGGTCAAGTCTTAGTCTAGTGGCCCTCTGGGAACTGAGGCATGTGGGAACACGTCTGCAGAATGCACAGAGCCTTCCAATGTGCTCAGTCTTTGAGTGGACCACTGCACAGGACAGATCACCTTCTTATGTAACCACAGCAGGGGCAAGGCAGGCTGAACTGTTCACTTTCAGTATGTGAATGTCCCACCTTCATGCCTTCGAATCAACCTCTTATGAGGAGGAGGACGATGGTGATGATGATGATGATGATGACAGGCAACATTTATGGAGCTCTCTCTGCCAGGTGCCCTGCCAAATGCATTCGTTTAACATATCATTAGATATACAAAACAAACGTATGAGGTAGAAACTGTTATCCCTTCCATTTTACAGAGGAAGAAACTGCCGCATACATTGATTAGGCAAAGTGCCCAAAGTCACACAGGGACAGGAAGCAGCTGGCTTCTGACCTGCAGGCTAACCTGCTGCTGCCCTTCAGATGCAGATCCTCGCTTCTACCTCCCCTGGAGACTCATTCTCCTCTCTGGTCCCCAACTCTCTCTCCCTCAGCTCTTGTCCTCCCCTCACTGCCACACTCTGATCCTTTATCCTCTCCTCTGGTGTGTTTCTCTCTCACCCTGGGCACACGTTTTCATCAGCCCTTCCATCAAACCCACCTCGAATTCGGGGTCACCCTTCTGCATCGGTTAGAGTCCTTTTGGAAGACAGAAGCCTAAGCAGCCATTTGAATGGAAAGTATTTAAGGGATTGTTAACTAGGTACAAACTGTTAACTTCATAAGTGAAAAGGCACACAGGAAACTGAACGGTATCACGGGATAGTAGATACACAAACCAGCCCTCTACCCCTAGGGCTGGCAGAATAAAGGAGCTGTGGTTGTTAGAGCCTGTTGATTTGGTTCCCACCCATAGCGACACTGTGCACAACAGAGCGAAACACGGCATGGTCTTGCACCATCCTCATCAATGTTCCCATGTCTGAGCCCATGGTGTCCGCCGTGGTGTCCGTCCATTTGGTTGAGAACCTTCCCTTTTCTCACTGGCCATCCACTTGACTCAGTGTGATGTCCTTCTCCAGGGACTGGTCTCTCCTGACAACATGTCCAGAGTATGGAAGACTTCATCTTGCCATCCTTGCCTCCAATGAGCCCCTTGGCCAATGTCTTCCATGACAGATATGTTTGTCCTTTTAGCAGTCCGTGGTCATTTCAATATTCTTCTCCAGCACCACAGTTCAAATGCATTGATGCTTCTTCAGTCTTCCTTATTCAATGTCCAAACTTCCCAGGCATATGAGGCATGGGTCAGGCACATCTTAGTTCTCAAAGTCTCATCGTTGCTTTTCAATACTGCTGCTTCCTGGAGCACTGATTGTGGATTCAGGCAAGACAAACTCCTTGACAACTTCAACCTTTTCTCCTGATGTGACCTATGGGTTCACTTGTGAGGATTTGGTTTCCTTTACATTGAGTTGTAATCCATAGTGATGGCTACAATCCTTGACCATCATCAGCAAGTGCTTTAAGTCCTCTTCACTTTCAGCAAGCAAGTTTTTTCCGTCTGCATATCTCAGGTTGTTAAGAAAACTTCCTCCAATGCTGATGCCACATTCTTCTTCTATCACCCACCTTCTCTGATGATTTGCTCTGCACACAGGGTGAACAATATGGAGAGGATACAAGCTTGATGTACTTGAGTGGGCTCATGCGGAACTGCTCCATGGTTCAGGAGGCAGTTTGGTGAACAGAACAAGGGAATACCACCTGGTTTAAAATCAGGAAAAATAAAGGAGTACAACTACTCAAACCCAAGAGCATGTAGGAGGAGCCAGTGGAGCTGGAGAAGGGGCAAAAGCCAGGCTGGGTCTCAGAGGTGTGATGGCAGCCGAAAGTATTTTCCTTCTTCACCGTTTGCCAAGAATATCTCAAGTGGGCTGTGTTATGTCTGTAGCTCACCTTTTAACTTTTGTCAAAAAAGGGTCAAGCCAGGTTTGAGGATTTTAATTTTCAAGCATCTGGCTGTAAGGAGCTTCTCCTGCGGTCCTAGGTATGGTTCGGAGGAGGGCTGCACTGCCCGGTGACACAACCAAGCACCGTGCAAGTTTCATAATATCTCCCCGCTTGGCCATGGAGTGTAACACGAATTCCCAGCTTCATCGTTACACGAATTACTTCATGGTGGGGGATCTTCAATCACACGGTCAAGTAGTCTCCTTTCACCAACATTCAACAGCAAGCCAAGAGCTGTTTCTAGAGACCTGATGGCGTTGCTCCATCGTCATAAGGGCTTCTGCGGTAATGCTGTCGGGGCTCTTCTTTTCTCGTCCTCAATATAGCATCCCATCCTGCCAGACACGATTTGGCTAGTGTTGGATGTACTGGGTGTAAAGACCCAGTAAAATACTGCTTGTGCATCCTCCTGGACCAGTGGGCACCCTCCTTGTTAGAGGTCAGAAGCTTTCCTTGGCAGACATCCCCCAAGTCCCAGTCTGCCTGGAGTGAAGAAGTCTAGGATTTGAACTTGTCAGTAGATGTTTTTCACACTATCCAGGGTTGTCAGAAATAATTAACAACTTCAACACTTGTGGACCTTGAATTCCTTATACTCTTCTTAGATCTTATGACAGCTGTCCATCTTCTCTAAAAGATTGTTATTGTTAGCTGCTCCAACTCATGACAACCCCATGCACAACAGAATGAAATGTTGCTTAGTCCAGTGCCATCGGCATGATTGTCAGTATGCTCCATCCAATGTTGCAGGTGCTGTGTCTTTGAGTGTATTCTAACCCAGTGGCCTCACCTTCCAGCACCGTGTCAGACCATATTCTGTTGTGATGAACAGTGATTTAATTGGCTGGTTTTCATGAAGGCTTTCCTCTAGTCTATCCATCTGGAAGCTCTGCTGAAACTATCCATCGTGAGCGACATAGCACTTCCAGCACCACAGCAGCACACAAACTACCATAGTAGGACCAACTGGTAGATGGTGGTCCATGAAATGAGTTTAGGTAAACACAGGTGATAATTTTGCTAGACATTTTCCCACTGGTTCTTGTGCTATTATTTCATAGTATAAAATAGTAGCTATTTTTTTATTGGCTTCCACCCAGTTAGGCCCCAGACTGAGTGCCTGATTCCACATTTTCTTCAAAGTTCTCTTGCCTGAAATCCACTTCTTAGTACCAGCATTATAGCTCAAAGTTTTGGTTACAAGCAAAGGAGACCCATTCTAAATTAATTAGAAAAATGCTATATTGGAAGGTATATTAGTTTTCTAATGTATCAGATTACTCTAAATCTAATTTCTTAAAATAACACCCATTTCCTAGCTTCGAGGACTGCTGCACTGGGCCCAGCAGTGTGTGCTTGGGTATTTTGGTGGGTATGTACCAGGTTGAAATCCAGGTGTCAACTTGGGGTTCTGCTCTCATCTGGAGCCCCTAGGGGAAAATCGACTGCCAAGTTCATTTTTTTTTTGTTAATTAAAAAAATGTATTTACTTTACAAGCATCTTTAAAAATAACAACTGTCCCACATCTGTTCCCTTCACCCTCTTCATGCAAAGAGCTCTCGAATGAGGTTCTTCTTTTATGTTTTTTCCATTCTGGTTCGTTCTTTGCTTCCTCATCATCAGATTCCACTTGGACAAACATGGTTTTAGGCTAAGTTTTGGAATATGCTGGAGAAACCCAATATGGGTTGTCTTCGGCTGCTTTGGCATGCCGCAGAATGGCTTCCTGAGGATTGCTGTCATCAGACTTGTCCAAAGCAATGTTTTTCACAATGTATGAGGACAGAGTGCCCCCATGGGTTCCAACTTGGCCACCATGACCTGGGCCTGCCACAAGAGGTTCCGGTTTGTGAGACTTCAGGGGATCCCGTCTGTCCTTCTCCAGCTGTTTCCTTGTACTCCGCTGGCGGGGCTCATGGAACATGGGCAAGGCATGAGGAGTGATAATGTAGTCCTGGGTTAGCGTCTCGGCTTGCTTCGCCTTCCGCTATGTCTTCACCACACATAATTTTGCTCCCCTCTGACTTTTGTTGGGGTCGTAATACACTTTAGCCAATCCATTTCCAGTTCCAACCATGATCTGGTTCAGCTTTGGATGCCACAGGCAACGCACAACGCTCGCATCTGTGATATCTATTTCGTAGGCTCTCTGGAAAGTCTTGCGATCAACGAACACCAGCTTGCCGCTGCCACGCCCCCGTTGAACAGAGGTGCCGGTGACAATGAGTTGGTCGTCGGGACTGAAACAACAGTCAGTCATTGGAAACATGGTAGGAAGTCCAGAGGCTGAATAAAGTGGCTTATTAAACTGTCGGACATCCCATAATTTTAATGTATCATCACCTCCATGAGAGGCAAGGTCATTGCCATCATAGGAAAAGGTCACACAAGAAGTGTCTGTGCCTGGTTGGTGAGCTTGTTTATAGTGGAATTTAGGGTGAACAGTCAAATTTCGGTCCCACATCTGTATGCTTCCATTCTGGCAAGCAGCTGCAATGAGATTTCCATCTCTACTATATGTGCAGGTGGTGGGAATTACTTTTTTGCCTTGCATCGTCTGTGGTTTAAATACACTTTTTTGCTTTTTTGGATTCTCAACTTCCCATATCCTCACAGTTGCATCATTTGAGCAAGTCATAAATTCTCCCTTTATTTTGGGATGCCATGAGCCAGTATGAAGCATTGCTGTGTGACCCTTGGTATTTGCCATGTCCACAATATACTGGTCTCCCTTTATACATTCCATTACTTCAAAACCATCTCTGTCAATCACCTTAGCCTGAGAACTTCCAGAACTTCTGTCAGAATTTAGTTAGTTTCTTATGATGGTCTAACTGAGGTCCCTGTTGCTGATGGTCAGCAGGACCACTCTCAGTTCCTAGAGGCCACCACATTCTTTGCAATATGCCTCCTGCCCCCTTCCCACCTCCTGCCTTTATCTTCAATCCAGGAACAGTGTATTGAATCCTTATGCTCCATATCTGATTTCCTCTTATGCTGATAGCTACAGAAAATACTTGTGTGAGTCCAGGATGACTAGAGAAACAAATTCATAGAGACTCCTATGTGCATAGGAAGCGCTTTATATACATAGAGACTCATGTGTGCATAGGAAGAGCTTAATTGAACATTAAGAAAACATCCCAGCCCAGTCCAGATCAAGTCTGTTAGTCCGATATTAGCCAATATGTCCAATACCAATCTATAAATTCCTCTTCAGACTTCCAAAACACATACAATGATGCCGAATGCAGGCAGATCACAGGCCAGTGGGTGGGAAGTCTTGTGGATCTAGTGGTCTTGTAAGCATCTCAGTGCTGACAGGGGTCTCCACAGTGATTCTCCAGCTCAGGGCACTAGCGTAGCCCCATGTGTCTTGTCATTTATAATGTCTCCTAGGGAGTGAACAGAGAGAGAGAGTGTGTGTGTCTCCTGCCTCCAGGGAGGAAAATACAGGAGTTCCCAGATTCCTTAGGAGAAGGCCAGGCCCCCACAGAGGCCTCATTGGCTATGACCCGATTGACAGACTAGACTCCACCCCTTCACTCTTAATCCTCTCAAGTGCCAAATTGACGTCACAATACTCTAACAAAGATTCGTTTGGTTACATCACACGTTCCCATAGAACTTCCCTATTAGAAAGTCAATGGTTTGGGCCCTTCACTATACCAGCAATATCCCTTCGCAATAGTACCTAAATCACCGACTGATTGAATGACTTGAAGAAGGCATGTGCAGCTCAGAAGACAGGATTGTGTGGGGTTTTAAGTTTCTGCTAAACAGCGCAAGTATTTGGCATTTCTTAGTGTGCCGAAGGTCCCTGAGATGACCTCAAGTTCAGTTTTTCACTTGGCAGGCTCCTAAGGCTCCATGTAGTCATACCCGTGACTATGATTTATTGTAGCAAAAGGGCACACAGCAAACTCAGCATATGACAAAGCACATAGGACAAAGGTAAAATATTCCAAGCAGAAGTTCCCAACATTCTCTCCCAGCAAAAATTAGACAGAATCCATTGAATTCCCACAGCAACCATATGACAACACGTGTGAAATGTTGCCAAGCAGTGGACTCAATGTAATTTTAGTGCCCACCAGGGACAAGCCAAATAGGCACTGCCCTCCCTGCCTACCTAATCCACACACCCCCACGGCAATACCGAAATTCCAGATCCCCGGAAGGAACGCAGGTGCTCAGCACAAACCACACTGTCAGCACAGTTGGCACCGTGAGCCACTCTTGTCAATTAATGGTGGCCTCCCCTGAAATATTAGTTTCCAGACGTCAGCCCAGGGTCTACTTTATTAGCAAGTCTTTCCCAGGTTTCCGTAGTTCAGCCCAGCTATGATTTTTTTCTGCACACATCGTCTTGCTGAAACATGGAGGGTCAAAGCATTCTGTAGTTTAAGCAGGATCAGCTGAGCACCATTTCTTGGCAGAACACCACTGTCCTGTTCTTCACAAAATTGGTCCTCTGATTATAAATCCAAATGCCCCTTGCTTTTTATAATTTATTGGTCAAAGTGGATGCCAATTGGGTGGGTGATGGAGAATACTTGATTTTGTATTACCTACTGAGAAGTGAGCACTTCACCCTACCGAAGAGAGATTGCCCCTCTATCAGCCAAGATAGGCTGCCATGAGTTCAAAATCTCAATGGCTTCTTCCACCTCCTTTATGGTATATCACCAGCCCTGGTAGTCCTGCTCTGCAGTAGTCCTTAAGGGACTCAAGACAGCGAGATCTTCATTCTCAGCTATGCTTTGATAACGACTGCTGCAGTGGGAACATGTGTGTGCCTGCTCTGAATGTGCCTGCAGGTTTTGTTTTGCTGACCGCGGCCAGCCATATGCCCCGGCTTAGTGTCAGGAGAAGTGTCGCCTCAGGGAGTAGAGTTGGAACCCTTTGGGGAACGATACTCCTAAGGACCACCCTCTCCAACAGGAAGGGGACAGTCAACATTCTCTGCAGAGGGCAAAGGTAAAACCATCTCGTGGGGAACAGAAGTCTGTGGCATCGGCACTAGGGAGAGGAAAAAGTGTGTAACACAGTTCTCTCTAACTTCTCCCTCCTATGAGAGGCATCAGGTGTTCACTGTGTGTACCTGTTTTCTTTCCTCGCTCCATCAGGAGCAGGCAAGGGGAGTGGAGGATTTGTCTAGTCAGCTGCTAGCAGTTTGAACACTCAGTGACGAGCAAGGGGCGAAGGCAGCAGGCTCAGAAATGCGTCTGACTCCTACTCCTCTGAATTGAGGCAGAGCCTGGTTAATCATGGTTAGTTCCTTCTTTTTTTAAAAAATCATTTTATTAGGGGCTCATGCAATTCTTACCACAATCCATACATACATCAATTGTATAAAGCACATTTATACATTCATTGC